CTCAGGAAGGGATGGATAGAACCTAGCGCATCCCCATATGGAGCACCTATCTTGTTTGTTCACAAGAAGGGAGGTGGACTGCGCATGTGCATCCATTATCGAGCCCTGAATAAAGTTACGATAAAAAACAGATATCCACTTCTGCGCGTAGAAGATTTATTTGATCAACTACAGGGTGCGCAATGGTTTAGTGCACTGGATTTGGTGCAAGACTATCACCAATTGCGTATAACAGAGGACGATGTTCCAAAGACGTCTTTCCGTTCGCCGTTCGGCCATTTTCAGTGGCGTGTGTTAAGTTTTGGCTTGACCAACGCTCAGGCCTCTTTCCAGAGGGCGATGAACGATGTTTTTCATGATGTGATTGGCCAGTTCGTCTTGGTGTACCTCGATGATATCCTGGTATACTCAAAAACCGAAGATGAGCATACTGAACACCTGAAATGGGTCCTCAAAAAATTACGCGAGCACAAATACTACGCACGTTTGTGGAAATGCCATTTTTACAAACGCGAGCTGGAGTATTTGGGGCACGTAGTGGGGAACAACGGTCTGAAAGTGGACCCCAAGAAGGTAGCAGCTGTCCACGAGTGGCCCGTCCCACGCGACGTTGGCCAAGTTCGATCATTCCTGGGCCTGGCGAATTATTTTCGTCGCTTCTTGGAAAATTATTCCACGATAGTCGCTCCCCTCACGGCATTGACCCGGAAAGGGTGCGCATGGGATTCAACTCCACAGTGCCAAAAGGCCTTCGAAGAGGTCAAGCATAAATTAACCAACGCACCAGTTTTGGTGTTGCCAAACCCACAGAAACCATATGAGGTGGTTACGGACGCCTCGATGGTGGGACTTGGTGCAGTACTCCTGCAAGAAGGACGCCCTGTGGCATTTGAGAGTAGAAAACTCTCCCCGGCAGAGCAACGCTACACGACAACCGAACAAGAGTTGCTGGCTGTCGTGCATGCGCTAAGAACATGGCGATGTTACTTGGAAGGGGTAGAGTTTGTGGTCACCACTGACCATTGTCCTAACACATATTTTCTACCCAAGCTACCCTCACTCACCGTCAGGCCCGTTGGGCTGAACTCCTTAGTGGGTTCAGTTTCGACATTCGTTATCGTGCAGGTTCCACGAACCTGGCTGACCCCCTCAGCAGACAGCCGATAGGGGCAGCAACTGGGCTTGACGATACCGAACATGCGGCTGTTTTTGCTGCCTGTTTTGGCATACTAGCTGCGGCGAAAGTGAGCGAGATCGCATTCAGTGGTTTTCTGAAACGAATTCGTACAGGATATCATATTGATTCCTGGTTCCAAAACCCACAAAACACCAGACATTTGACATGGGAACACGATCTTTGGTGGCGAACAAAAGAGATTGCGGTACCTCACGTAGGCAATCTGCGGAACGATATTTTGGAAGAGGTGCATGCCACTAAATATGGGGGACACTTGGGCATGAATAAGACCCGATGGGCCCTACGAGATGTGTATTGGTGGCCAGGAGTCGGTAGTGATGTCCAACAGTTTGTGGCACGTTGTGACGCGTGCGCACGTAACAAAGCGGACACACAAAAGCCTGGTGGTTTGCTTCAACCACTTGAAATATTGAGTGAACCTTGGGAAAGCGTTTCAATGGGTTTCATCACCGACCTCCCAAGAACCCGTGATGGGTATACGGCGATACTCGTCTTTGTAGATCGCCTCACAAAAATGGTGCACTTCGTACCCACGACAACAGACATATCAGCAGAGGATACTGCTCGGTTGTTCGTTACACATGTATTCCGTCTACACGGATTGCCACGTGTATTAGTGTCTGATCGCGACCCGCGCTTTACGAGCCGATTTTGGCGTGAAGTAACCGAGACACTAGGAACGAAGCTTAAGATGTCGTCAGCGTTCCATCCCCAGACAGATGGGCAAACGGAACGGACTAACCGCACTCTCGAGTAGATGCTTCGTTCTTTCATAAGCCCAACACAGGAAAACTGGGACGAGTTGTTACCCATGGTCGAGTTTGTAGGTAACAACTCAGTGCATGATAGCACACTTGAAAAACCATTTATCCTGAACTGTGGTCGGCACCCTACAACACCTGCTACGCATGGGATCGGCGGTTTGAAATTACCTGCCGCAAAGGATTTTGTGGGCAAGCAACGAGAGGCCCTAAAGTCGGCACGTCGTTGGCTGCAATTAGCCCAACAGAGGCAAAAATCCTATGCCGATATGAAACGCCGGGAAGTCTTGTTCTCTGTTGGAGACAAAGTTTTGTTAAGCACGAAGAACATTCGGCTTAAGATCCCTGGCGCGAGAAAGTTGTTCCCTCGCTGGATTGGGCCCTTTGAGGTGATTCAACGAGTTGGTGCGGTAGCTTACAAGCTCAAGCTACCTGATACCCTGCAGATTCACAATGTCTTCCATGTGTCTCTGTTAAGCAAGTACGTTGTAGAAGCCAAGTACTTACCACCACCAACAATCGTCCTAGGGGAGGAACTGTACTATGAAGTCGAACGAGTGCTTTTGCATCGTGATCGACAACGCGGCCGCAAGACTGTACGAGAGTTCCTCATTAAGTGGAAAGGCTATGGGCCTGAACACAACTCTTGGGAGCCGGAAGAACATTTGTCTGATACTGCGGTTCAGTCTTACATGGAAGACCTGGCTCAACGGGCACTCCCACAACCAGCGGATGGTGTTGACCCTGGTCGTAATGTGGTTCGTCGTGCTCGTAGCACTCGTCCTAAGAAGCACCCCACAGCAACGAGGACGTTGCTAGCTGGAGGGGGAGGAGTGTAACATCCGTACCCAACCCCAGCTGGTCTTGATATGTCGAACCAACTGAGGGAGAAATGTGGGGAAATCTGGTTGGTTGGGAAAGCGAGACTTACGGGCAATTCAGGATTGACTGGGAAACCAACCAATCGAAATTGCTGCTGAGTCAAACTTACGCAATTGGTTTGAGCTGGTTCAAACATAACCCACGTAAGTTCACCTCATCACTAATTCAACCAATCATAACACAGCCCAAGAGTGAGTCGATAACATTTCCGCCGCTCACTCCAAACACAACCAATAAACATCAAACACATGTTTGTGAATGCTGTGCATTTCCTATCCTTCCTATCTATAATATAATTGGTTGAGAATCTTGTTTATTGCCACATGGGCAAGGCCCAAGGGAGTGCACCCCTCCTTGCCATGGGGAAGGTGGCTGCACCCCAAGGGGGTCTAGGGAAGGGGTCTGAAGCCTCTGGGCTCATTCTTCATTTCCTACTCCCAACTAATCAATTGGGAAATAGGATTGTCTCCTCCTCAACTCACCCTCCAAGATTTGTTACTGCATTTTCCCAGCAACTCTCAGACTTAGTCGTTTTCAGGAGCTGTTACTCTCTGGTTGTACTAGAAGCTATTATTATATGGGTAAATGCCCTTTTTCTTACTAGCTCTGTTACACGCTATCACGTGGGATGGGACTCCCGTCCCCGGCCCGGGGCAGGATTGAGCATGATGAGTCGATGGCGCCGCGATCTAAACAAATCGCGTGAAAATAGTGTTTGCCGCGAGTCGTTAGTTTCAATACGATGTGTGTTATATATTCTCGCAAGCGCCTCTCCCACCCACCCACTTGCCTCACTCTCTCACGAGTCCCAAGATTGGCTAGCCGTTTCGCGAATCGGGGCCGAATTGAATCGCAATCAAGGATCGCGACCAAGCAATCCAGCGTTTCAAATCTTTCGAAAAATAGTAGAATTTCCGAAGAGAGTTTGGTTTTTATCACGAGAGTTCCTCCGTCTTTTCATTCTTCAAGCAAGGTTTTTCCAATCATCGAACTGTCGCCAATCTCCAACAACTTGTTAGAATATTGAATATCTACTACTAGTAGTAGTACTAGCGCTCGACGCCGCGCGGCGCGCCTCCTCCATCTTATTAAGACACCACCACCATCGCCTATCAGCCATGCAAGACCGAGCCGCGCCCAGAGTGCCCTTTCAATTTTCCGAGAATTTGAGTCCAACACACCTGGCCAATCCGGAGCTGCTGCTGGCGTTGCTACCCACGTGCTCTACTCCTCCTGCTACAAAGCACCTGCTACAAAGCACCTACAAAACACCTACTACAACGTACCTACCCGTTAACCCGAGCTTACCAACAGGTTTGTCAGCCTGTGCTGGCCTGGTCCCACGAGTTCAAAACGCTGCCCTGCACTGCTCAGCTCTACTCATGGCAGACGGCAGCACTATGCTGGTCAACAGCTGCGGCGACGGCGCTACCACGACCATTACCGCCACCACCCCCGGAGGGACAGCGTCGGACTCTCTCGCTGCACTCTTATCATTCGACGACCTCCCTTTGCCGCTCGCACCGCCGCCGTCGCCGCTGCCGCCGCACACCACGCTCCCTCAAGCTGCCGCCTCGCGCCGTCCCATCCTAGAGCACCTCAGAGGTCCGGGAGACCCTCTCAGCTGGCCGCTCGGCTGGGGCCCTCGCTTCCACCAAAGGTTGCCTTCTGTTGGGAAGATGCATGTCGACTCTTCTGCCCAACCGCACGTGCTACAGCCTCTCACGAAGCCGCGGCGGCTTGAGCCTTTGGTTGAGCCGCTGGTTGAACCGCTGATGACTTGTGTGGGCGGGCCGGAGGGAGGAGCGTTGGGGATGCGTCCCGGGGTGAGTGGAGGGGAGGTGGCCAGTGGAGGGGACGCGGAGGAGGAATTGGGGGACTTGAACAAGCCTACTGGAGCTGCTGCTGCTACTGCTGCTACGAAGCAATCGGTGAGCGGGGAGGTGCAGATTCAGCGCATGCTGGCTGGCCTCTCACACATTGCACGCTCCCTGGGACTGGAGGAATCATAGCAGCAGGAAGCACAGCAGCAGGAGATGCTGCAGCAGGAAGCAGCTGCTGCAGTAACAGCAGCAGAGGGAGAGGCAGAGGGAGAGGCAGAGGCGGAGGCGGAGGGAGGGAAAGCGGTGCTGTCAAGCCGAGTAATGGCGAGGCTGCAGATGGGGAGAGGCAGCACAGACGAGCGTCGGGAGCTGTTGGCCCTCCTGCAGGCGCTCAAAGAGGTGGAGGAGCAGCAGCAGGCGCAGCAGGCGGAGCAGTTTTCACAGCAACCCGGGCTGAGCCCGAAGCAGAAGCAGAACAAGCGGCAGAAGGGGCAGAAAGGACAGAGGACAGTGAGTGAAAAGCAGCAACAGGAGCAGCAGCAGCAGATGGAAGGAGGGCAGGAGGAGCAGTGGCTCTCAGCTTTCTCGGCTCTTCCAGAGGCCGGAACGTCAGCGAAGCAAGTGGAGACCGCCCTTGCTTCCACGTTTGCCCCCAGATACAGTCCAGATGGCGCGCTACGATTGGCTCGTGGTGGAAGAGGGCGCCGTGGGGAGAGGAGCGGCAGTTGTGGTGGCAGCGGCGGTGGCAGCGGCGGCCGCTGCGGCAGCAGTTGCCCCGAGTTTGCTCCGCGTGGCAGTGGTATCAACAACAACCCATGCAGCGCCATGAGTAACGGGATCTACGATAGCAGCGGGTTGGTGGGCACACACGGCACCATCAGCAGCACCCTTTTCAGCAGCACTTGCACCCAGTCAGCGAGCGACGCGGGAAAGAAGAGGAAATGCCCAGAGCGCCCGGCTGGCATCGCTACAGCCGCTCACACGTGGTAGCAGCACGCCAGGCAGGCCTCCCATGCGTGCTACAGCCGGGGCGTGCTTGGGCCAGGCAGTGCCTCGTTCGAGCAGCGGAGCCCAACCATGGGCAGCGGAGCAGCAGGCATGGGGGCGTCTATCCTGGGCCCTGGCATGGGTGCGATGGTGCCGGACTCGCCGGTCTTGCAGTACAGGCGGAGTGATGCGCTGCAAGCCATGTCCACCAGGGAGGCAGGTGCAGTGGGCGGTGTCGAGGATTCAGCAGCAGCGCCAGTGGAGGCAGCAGCAACTCACGGCTCTTGGCCTCGCCTCCACATGCACTTTCAGGACAAGGACCATCAGCAGCAGCAACAACAGCAGAGGAAGCAGAGGCGTGAGCCGGCGTGTGAGCAGCAGTTGTCTTACGTGGCCATCAGACAGCCTTGTCGAGGGAGCGCAGGCTCGGCAGGCATAGGCGTGGGCGATGATGCAATGGATGGGCAAGTGAGCGGATCAAACAGCACAGGCGGCATGGGCGGCACGGGCGACGTGGAGGGTACGGACGGCCAGTGGCATTGTGACGACGACTTTGGTCTAGACGCGTGTTTTCAGCTGCCTGTGTGCAACACAGATGCTGAGGAGAATCAGTGCGGGGGCGCAGACGGGTGGTGCGCACGAGAAGAGCGCGGGGAGAGGAGACACGAGAGTGGGGAGAGACACGAGAGCGAGGGCAACGGCCACGAACACAATGTGCACGATGAGTGTGGTACGGAAGACGAGTGGTTGCCCCGGAGCCAGGGCATTCGGAGTGGTTTGGCGCCGAACCAGAGGATCAAGCGCCGCAGCATGGCGGAGCGGCGGAGGAGGGAGAGGATCAGCGAGAAGCTGCAGAGGCTGAGGGCGAAGGTGAGGGGGCGAGAGGACACATGCGCGATGCTGGACAGAGCAGTGGGGTATGTAGATGCACTAGAGCGGAGAGTGATGGAGTTAGAGAGGGTTGTCATGACGGCTGCTGGGTCTGGGAGGAACGTTTTCCCCGGCAATGCGTTTGCCGGTGGTGGTGCTTTTCCCCGTCGCGGTTTTGGTGGTAACGTTTTTTTGAATAACGCCGCGGCGCTGGCGACGATACCGGCTGCGTTAACATCCGCCCGGACTGGCCTTGGGAGTGACGCTGTTGCCGACTGGCCTTGGGAGTGACTGTGCTTGTTGAGCCGTGCTGGACAAAGGCACGTTGGTTTAGGGTTTACACTGGTGCTTTTCAGAAAAACCACGGGGTAGTTTGTCAAATTCTCAGGGACTTTTTTTGTCATGTCATTCTGATTTCCAAGTACCGGTAGGTTTTTGTGCATTGGCCATGATGTACGGTACCATACTGGTATTAGCCTATGGTGTTTGTGGTTTCCATGCATTATGCACTGCTTCTTTTATTTCCAAAATTCTGAGAGACATGCCAAGGTGAGTGTGTGAGTTGAGGGAGGCCAGTTGGAACCAACCGAGTAAGGGTGCGTCAGATCCGTTGGCCGGATCAATCCGGCCGGCCGGATCTAGCGAAGGTTACACATTCACGACATTCGTAAGGTATTTCGTTAATTTCGCACAATCCGGCCACTTGCTAAAATTTTGATGGCCGGTTTAGCATTCGACAACTTTTCCGACGTGCAAACGAATCGAGAGTCGACCACTTTGTCGACTCATCAGCGCTACAGTACCTATGCGACTTGGCCAACATACCCAAGCGACTCAACGTGTCACAAGGACGACTCGCACGGCGCTTTCAGCGCCGTTGAACATGACCGGAACACTTGGTAATCTCTCTCGTCAGCAAAGTCAAGGAGCAAGGGCACCATGACACCGACTGCAGCAACCAAGGGGTAAGCACAACGTGCGTGAGTCTGATTGCTAAACGTCGTGCCCATCTGGGTGTGAAAGGATCCGCCATGTTGGATAATGGCTAGAGTGTAGGGACGTTCCGGTTTTTGTATGCTCTCGTCACACTCAGTTCGGGTAGACGACACGATCTCGCCGAGCCGGTTTGTAAATGGGGCCACAGCTCACATCTTGACTCCCTGATCGTAGTGTGCACAATAGCGGTTGTGTCACTTCAGTAACAATACGTGCGACTCCGTCGCATAATCCGGCCAATTGTGCGACCTGTAAATCTGACACTTCTGCAAACTGGCCTGTAAATCGGCCACCAAATCTGTCAGATTTCAACACCTTGTAAATGTGGCTGGATGGTGGTCGGTTTAGCATTCGACCATTCTGTCGACTTTGGCGAAAAAAGGAGTCGACCAAAAGGGCGACAAATTTGCAGCCAAATCACGTTGTAGCGGATCTGACGCACCCTAAGGGGACGACAGAGTTACCGTAGGGAAAATTTAGGCGGTGTCGTTGTCAGAACATATAGCTTATATATTTGTGTAGGCTATAGTGGGGTATCCCATAAGGGGTACAACCCAATTAGGGTTTCCTATTTGTACTCACTTCGTTCATAGTCATTTCATTCTCGTTCACTTTTTCTCATGGTATCGAGCAGGTTCCCCTGTGGGAACTGTGCTTAGGGCCCACCACCACTACCTCGTAACTTTTTTTCTGCCCGGAGCGTCCTCCGGGCCCTTTCTCCTTTTTTTTCGATCTGCCCTAACGGCCCCTCGAGCCTGAGCGCCGCCCGCCCTAGCGCCATAGCGCCGCCCGCCCTAGCGCCCGCGCGCGGCCCGCCCTAGAGCCTGACGGCCGCCCGCCCTAGAGCCTGAGCGCCGCCCGTCGCCGCCCTAGCGCCCGCGCGCCCGACGCCCGACGCGCCGCCCGTCGCCGCCCTAGCGCCCGCGCGCCCGCTAGCCGCCCGACGCGCAGCCCGTGCGCAGCCCGTGCGCCGCCCGTGCGTCGCCCTCAGCAGCTCGACGCGCCGCCCGTGCAGCCGCCCGTGAGCTGCGTGTGCGCCGCCCGACGACCCGCCCGGGCAACTGCCCGTGCTGCCGCCCGTGCAGCCGCCCGCGCACCCGCCCGTGCAGCCGCCCGCGCACCCGCCCGTGCAGCCGCCCGCGCACCCGCCCGTGCAGCTGCCTGTGCAGCCGCCCGTGCAGTCGCCCAGCGTGCAGCCGCCCTCAGCCGCCCGTTCAGCCGCCCGTGCAGCCGCCCTCAGCCGCCCGCTCAGCCGCCCGTGCAACCGCCCGTGAAGCCGCCCGTGAGCCGCCCGTGGGCAGCCCGTCACGACGCCCGCGCCGCCCGTGTCACCCGAGCCGCGAGCGCCGCCCGAGCAGAGAGCCGCCCGAGTCGCCCGTGCCGCTGAACGCCCGAGCTGCCCGAACCGCCCGAGCCGCCCGAGCCGCCCGAGCCGCCCGAGCCGCCCGAGCCGCCCGAGCCGCCCGAGCCGCCCGAGCCGCCCGAGCCGCCTACGGTGCCGAGCGCCGGGTCCTGTGAGGCTACTGCTACTCCTAGGCCGGCGGAGTTGCTGAGCTCCCGTGTTGCTGTCCTACTGAGCTGCTCGACCCTTCCTCTCTGGTGAGACTGTCGGCTGTTATCATGGCCACCCCTACTGTCCTGGCCTTTGACGCTGAGGGTCGCGCCATTGACTTTGCGGTCTGGGTCGAGAACCTGCAGCTGTACTTGCAGTGCGATTCAGTAGATGACATCTCTCTCTTTGACTTTGCCTCTGGCGCTGTCCCTGCCCCTCCTGCTGATGCTGACCCCACTGTTCGCTCCAAGTGGGCCACACGCGATGCTGCTGCACGTCTTGCTGTGCGTCGCCACCTCCCTTCTTCTGAGCGTGCACACTTTAGTCAGTGCAAGACCGCTCAGGCCTTGTACGACGCTGTAGTTGCGCGCTACTCCTCCCCTTCCACTGCTACACTGAGCCGCCTCATGCTACCTTACCTCTTCCCTGACCTTGCTGCCTTTCCTACAGTCGCTGACCTCTTTACCCACCTTCGCGCTAGTGACACTCGCTACCGAGCTGCGCTTCCTGCTGCCTTCTGCGCCGAAAACCCCCCTCCCATGTACATCACCCTCTACTTTCTAGTCACCCGTCTCCCTGAGTCCCTTCGTGTTGTTAGGGACCAGTTTCTCTCTGTCTGTCCCACCACCCTCACTGTCGACCTCCTCAAGAAGTCCCTGTTAGCGGCCGAGAAGAGCATAGTCGCTGTAGGGGCCTCTCGTGGTGACCCCCGCACCCCCATCTTTGAGGGGTGTTCTCCTTCCCCCCTGTTACCCTCTGTCGCCTCTGCTGCTGTGGCCGACCTCGTTGGTTTAGAGTCGGTCGGTGCGGCGTCTGCCCCCAGCGGTAGGCGCCGCTCTGGCAAGGGCAAGGGGGGCAAGGGAGCGGGTGGAGCTAGCGGGGGCGGTGGCGGAGGAGGTGGGGGCGGCGGGGGGGGTGGGGGTGGCGGTGGAGGTGGGGGCGGGGGTGGAGGTACTAGTGGCGGCAGTGGAGGCGGAGGTGGCGGCGGAGGTGGCGGTGGAGGTGGCGGTAGGAGCGGCGGGGGAGAGGGTGGCGGTGGCGGCGGTGGCGGCGGAGGCGGGGGTGGCGATGGTGGAGGTGGTCGGAGTGGCTCGTCCCAGCGGAGCAGCACTGGGGGTGGTCAGCGCCAGCAGCAGCAGCAGCAGCGCTCTCGCGACGTCCCCGCCCCTCAGCAGCTCCGTGAGTGGTACTTGCAGCGTCAGCGTGGTGGGGCGTTTGGTCCCTGCACCTACGTCCTTCGCACCGGCGACCGTGCGAGTGAGCAGTGTGGGGGCACCCACACCGCCCGCCGCTGCTTTGCCCGCCTGACCGACGCTTGGCGCCAGCAGTTTCCGGAGGCCTCTGAGATCCTCCGCTGGGGAGAGCTGTCTAGGGCTGGTGTAGCTATCTTTGATCTGGACTTTGATGCTATCCTTGCTGCCATGTATGCTGTGACTGTTAGTGATGAGGGTGACTGTTACCGGTGTTTCCCGCCCGACCCGGGCATTGGTACTGCTGCGTCAGGTGCCAGTGAGGCTGCTGCTCTAGGTGCCAGTGCGTCTGTGCTCTCAGGTACTGGTGAGTCTGCACTCTCAGGTACTGTGTCGGCTTCGGCCTCTCACACCTTCACCCTTGACTCTGGGGCGTCTCGCTCCTTCTTTCGGGACTGCACCACTCTCACGCCGCTTAGTCGGCCGGTTGCGGTGTCCCTGGCTGACCCCTCTGGGGGTCCTGTCCTGTCTCGTTTCTCCACAGTCCTCCCGTGTCCGGCGGCTCCCTCTAGCACCCTGTCTGGTCTCTACCTCCCCTCGTTCTCTACGAACCTAGTGAGTGGTGCTGACCTACAGGATGCGGGTGTCCACCAGTTCACTCCTGCTCGTCAGCGGGTGACACACTGCACAGAGGCTAGCACAGGTCGCCACCTGGCTACGTTCACACGTCAGCCAGGGTCGAGCCTGTACACACTGACCACTGCTTCTCCTCCAGGTGCTCAGTCTGGTAGGGTCTCTTCGTCTGGTCAGGTGTTTGCTGCAGCGTCCAGGTCTGGTCCTGAGTCTGCCCCCTGTTTGTGTCGCCGTCTGTCTCACGAGACCCTCCTCTGGCACCACCGCCTTGGCCACCCCTCTCTGCTTCGGCTCAGAGGCATGGCCTCCCGTCTTCTTGTGTCTGGTCTCCCCCGGTCCCTCCCTCCCCTTCCTCAGGGCCCTGGCCCTGCCTGTGTCCCCTGTGTTGAGGGGCGCCAGCGTGCTGCCCCTCACTCCTCACAGTTTCCTCCAACAGAGGCTCCGTTGCAGACGCTTCACATGGACGTGTGGGGCCCTGCCCGCGTCCGTGGACTCGGTCACGAGCGCTTCTTCCTGTTGGAGGTTGACGACTACTCGCGTTACACCACAGTCTTCCCCTTGCGCAGCAAGGGTGATGTCACTGAGGTGCTGATCGACTGGATCCGCGCATCTCGTCTCCAGCTCAGGCAGAGCTTTGGCTCGGACTTTCCTGTGTTGCGTCTGCACTCGGACAGAGGCGAAGAGTTATCCTCTGCCCTTCTGCGTGCCTACTGTCGTGCGCGAGGCATCCGCCAGACCTTCACGCTTCCGGACTCACCGCAGCAAAATGGGATTGCAGAGCGCCGCATTGGCATGGTCATGGACGTCGCTCGTACGTCTATGATGCATGCGGCTGCCCCCCATTTTCTGTGGCCGTTTGCGGTCAGGTACGCGGCGCATCAGATCAACCTCCACCCCAGGGTCTCTAGGCCGGAGACCTCCCCAGCCCTGCTGTGGACGGGGAAGGTTGGCGATGCGTCGGCGTTCCGGGTCTGGGGATCTCGGGCGTTTGTCCGCGACTTGTCTGCAGACAAGCTCTCCCCTCGCGCTGCTCCCTGCGTCTTCCTGGGGTTCCCCCCCGACGCCCCTGGGTGGCAGTTCTACCACCCCACCTCTCGACGTGTTCTATCCTCTTAGGACGTCACGTTTGACGAGTCGGTACCCTACTACCGCCTCTTCCCCTACCGCACTCCGTCCCTCCCCCCGCCCCCGCTCTTCTTGGTACCAGGTCCCCCCCCGGTCGACCCCCTCCCCCCTCAGGGTCCTGCCCCTTCAGGTGTGTCCCAGGTAGACGCGGTTGAGCCTGTCGAGGTCACTGGTGACTCTGGTGCTGCTGCGGGAGCTGAGCCTGGGGGTGCTGGGACTGGAGGTGCTACGCCTGGGGGTGTTGAGACTAGGGGTGCGGAGTCTGAGGGTGCTGAGCCTGGGGGTACTGAGCCTAGGGGTGCTGAGCCTGGGGGTACTGAGCGTGGGGGTGCTGAGCCTGGGGGTGCTGGGCCTGGGGGTGCTGAGCCTGGGGGTGCTGGGCCTGGGGGTGCTGAGCCTGGAGGTTCTTCGCCTAGAGGTTCTCCGCCTGGAGGTGCTTCGTCTCGCTGAGAGCCACTCTCCCCACAGGAGCTGCGTGAGTGGTTTGCTCGGCGCTGGAGGCGTGCTGCTGGTGCTGGAGGTTCTTCGGCTGCAGAGGGTACTGCTGCCGCGCGTCCCGGAGGTGCTCGTACTGGGGGTACTGGAGCTGCTGGACCTGAGAGTTCTTCTGGAGCTGGTACTACTGAGGGTGTTGGCGCTGAGACTACCGCTGGCGGTCCAGCTGGCAGTGCTCCTGGTGCTGCTGGGGGTTCCGGGGCTTCTGGAGGTGCTGTTGGGGGTTCTCGAGCTACTGGAGGTGCTGCTAGAGCGAATACTCCTGCTGGGGGTACTGGTGCTGTCCCTGCTGTTTCTGGAGTCGCCTCGCGGCCCCGACCGTACTTCGTTCCGCTCCTGCAGCAGGTTCTTGGTCTTACACCTTCCCCTGGTCCTCCTCCTCCTCCCTTAGAGGGTCCACAGCCTGTCCAGTCACAGCTACAGCCTGCCTCCCCTTTGCCTGCTCCTTCTCCCTACGCTGGTCCGACTGGAGGTCTTACAGAGCGTCGTGAGCCTGCGTCTCGTCCTACGTCGCCTGTTCGTACTGCCCGCACTAGTGGTCGTGGTTCGCGTCAGCGTCCTCCTCCTGTCCCTGGCACGCACCGGATGTCTCTGCGTCCGTCCACTGCTCCTCTGCGTGCCCCTTTGCCTTCTCCTCCTTCTTCCTCTCTTCCTGCTCTTACCGACCCGGAGTCGGACTCTCTTCGTGCTGCCAGTCCTACTGTCACGCGTCTCCTTGCTACTGCTGTCACTGACCCTTCTTTCGAGTCTTCTGCTGCGTCTGCTCTTGTCACTGAGCTCGTCGACTTTGCTGCGCGTTGTCGTCTAGACTACGCTGCTAGTCTTGTCGCTGAGTCTGAGTCTGTCTGTCCTCCGTCCGTCGGGGGTGAGTGTGCCCTTGGCACGGACGTACTTGAGGACAGGCAGGAGGAGTTCCAGTGTCTGGTCGCCGCTTCACCTCATCTCGCGTCTGTACTGCTAGCCCCTGAGGGAGACCCGGATGCACTTGACATCCCGACTCCGCGCTCTTACGCGGAGGCGATAGAGGGTCCCTACTCCTCTCAGTGGCAGGCAGCTATGGATGCAGAGATGGCTTCCTGGAAGTCCACAGGCACCTACGTTGACGCTGTTCCCCCTCCTGGGGCGAACATAGTCAGTGGCATGTGGATCTTCAGGGTGAAGCGGCCGCCGGGTTTTCCGCCTGTCTTCAAGGCGCGTTACGTGGCTCGTGGCTTCAGTCAGCGGCAGGGAGTTGACTACTTTCAGACCTTCTCCCCCACCCCGAAGATGACCACTCTTCGGGTACTACTGCACGTTGCTGCTCACCGTGACTACGAGCTGCACTCTCTCGACTTCAGCACTGCTTTCTTGCAGGGCAGCCTGCACGAGGAGATCTGGCTGCGTCGCCCACCTGGCTTCACTGGGTCTTTCCCTCCTGGTACCCAGTGGAGTCTCCGGCGTCCAGTCTACGGTCTCCGCCAGGCACCGCGTGAGTGGCACGACACACTGAGGACTACGCTGGCGGCACTTGGGTTTGCTCCTTCTACTGCCGACCCGTCGCTGTTTCTGCGCACCGACACCTCTCTGCCGCCGTTCTACATCCTCGTGTACGTCGACGACTTGGTCTTTGCCACAGCTGACACTGCTGGACTCGCCTATGTGAAGTCCGAGCTGCAGAAGAGACACACGTGTACTGACCTGGGTGAACTGCGCAGCTACCTTGGCTTGCAGATCACCCGGGACAGAGCACTCCGCACCATTACCCTGACTCAGTCACACATGGTGCAGCAGGTCCTTCAGCGCTTCGGCTTCACGTACTCCTCGCCTCAGGCCACTCCTCTGCCTACTCGCCACTCGCTCTCAGCTCTGCCTTCGGATGAGTCCGTAGAGTCGAGTGGCCCGTACCCAGAGCTTGTTGGCTGCCTCATGTACCTGATGACCTGCACACGACCTCACCTTGCATACCCTCTTAGCATTCTCGCACGCTATGTTGCTCCTGGGAGACACCGACCAGAGCACATGGCTGCAGCGAAGAGGGTGTTGCGCTACTTGTGCAGCACGTCGGGCATGGGGCTAGTGCTTGGAAGGCGCAGTCCAGTGGTCCTCACTGGGCACGCGGACGCTTCTTGGGCTGACGACCAGGCTACGCAGCGGTCGTCACAGGGCTACACCTTCAGCCTTGGTTCCGGCTCTGTCTCGTGGCGGGCTACCCGCTCGTCTTCTGTTCTCGGCTCTAGTTGTGAGGCTGAGATCTACGCGGGGGCTATGGCTGCCCAGGAGCTTCGCTGGCTCACCTACCTGCTGACCGACCTTGGAGAGCCGCCGCGTTCTCCTCCAGTCCTGTACGTAGACAACAAGGCCATGCTGGCCTTGTGTCGAGAGCAGCGACTGGAGCACAGGACAAAGCACATTGCTCTCCGCTACTTTCTTGCTCGTGAGCTGCAGCAGCGTGGACAGTTGCGACTTGCGTACGTGGCCTCTGAGGCCAACACTGCTGATGTCTTCACCAAGGCACTTGCGCCTTGTGATCATCAGCGTTGCTGCACGCAGCTGGGTCTTGTGCCTGTCTTGCCTCACTTGCTCACTTCTTGACCTTGCCTGTACCTTCACCTATATATACTCTTGCTCTTTCTTGCTTGACTCTTGTATATCTCTATATGTGATTTTGCATGTGAACTGGCCTTTTGGCCTTTGCACTTGTGCTCGGAATGTGTGGTGACTTTGTGATCCACCCTGAGCTTTGCTTTGCTTTGCTTGACTGGTCTTGTGACCCCTTGTTCTCCCCCACTTTGCCTATGGGGGTGTGTGAGAACATATAGCTTATATATTTGTGTAGGCTATAGTGGGGTATCCCATAAGGGGTACAACCCAATTAGGGTTTCCTATTTGTACTCACTTCGTTCATAGTCATTTCATTCTCGTTCACTTTTTCTCAGTCGTGTCGCAAAAAGTGTGAAGCCAGGGAGGAATAAGGACGTGTAAAAGCAAAAGATCTCAATGACAGAGACAAATAGCAATGTAATGTTGCCAGCGGAGCGGACGGGCAGCCTCGACTACGGTACCGTAACGACCGTGCGAATCGGGAAGGCGGGGCTGGCAAGGTTATTGGCAGTAAGTGTGTTGTCATGTTGCATGAGGTGGACCCAGTACAAAGGGGTCAAGGAGGCCCAGGTAGGACAACACACGGAAGAGGAAGGGCATACAACCAGCTTATAAGCTTTGCGGAAATCAACCATAGTAAAATATAACAGTCTGTAGTGTAACGTATTATTCGTGAATGTTGGGAGGGATCGTTCAGAATTTCGACAGACTTCGGGGGTTTTTCGAGAAACTTCATGGACCTCTCCGAATAATGCACATGTGTCAAACCCATCACATGGCAAAAATTCTTGGCAAAAAGGGGACTACCGGTATGTAGGAGGGCCCCAGTTACCCATCGTTAGGATTTCTGGGGAAAATCTGCAACATTCTGAAAAAATGGACCCTAATAGCGCGAGCTTCTAAACCGGAGCATTCGAATACACGTGTTGCACTGTGCACGTATCTTCCCGTTCGGATTCGGGACTCGCCCACCCTTCCTCTCCCAACTCAACACCTTGAATTGGGTTCGGTGTTGTCGGGGCTCCAGTTCGGTTCAGTGGGGCCTTTGGCCCAGTTGCTCACTCCACTCTTCTGGCTTTATTGTGGAGATCTTCAATCATCCGTCGCAATCTCGCACCACTCGAAGCATCATAACTCGCACAAGGCGGCCATTTGACCGTTGCCAGCGAACCTAGATCCGAATCTCGTTACCCACTTTGAGTGGACGTCAAGCTATAGAACTGTAGTGCTGTTCGCTAAGTCTGAGTCGCTGAGACGAGTAATGTGGGAGAGTGGAGCCACGTCATCATACAAGTTGTGTGCAACCCACGCGATGGCGGTTGACTGCCGTCAAAAACATGTGCGGGGCGGGAGACTGTCAGCCGGAGCTTCTCGCGCTTTTCTCCGTGGGACGCGTCGCCGCAGCTGGAACGTAACCAGCAGAAATTCTCCACGATCTGTTCGCGCCGCGATTGCGGCAGCAAAGCGATACTATTCTGTCCGCTTCTCGTTACGATACGATTCGGAGACTTACTTTCCCCCGCAAAGGACTCTCGCTCCGTCTCCTCGCGGTGCGCGATGTCGGCGGGGGGTGTTTCGCACGATACTTCCAAATCAGATTTGTCGAGGAAAGCCGCGGCAGTCGTTAGTAACGCTCCACAAATAGTGATATCGCAAGAAAGGTTTCTATATTTACCAGATCCACATATGGAAGCCTCCATGTTAAACGAATCCCAAACGATATCTTCCAGGATACCACTTCAAGTTAACCCAATCGAGGCTACTAATTTTCTCAATCCCTCTTGAAGTGATAGCAGTAAAGTCCTGTCGTGTCGCGTCGCATCGTCGCTCGGCGCCCCGCCTATTCGCGGCGCCATCCAAGACTCGCTCACAGCTAGTAAGTCACGGAGACGTTAACACTACTACAAGCAAGCCCATCTACGTCATGCCTCATAGCATTACAACAACTACTACTGCTATGGCGCACAGCGTTTCCATCTCCGCGGCGGCCGCGGCCGACGGCGCAACGTCGGACTCTCTCGCGGCCGCACTCTTCGCAATGGACGACCTTCCTTCGCCTTTCGCCGCGCCGGCCGCGCCGGCCGCGCAGCAGAATTTCATTCAGGAGGAACCCAGGGAGCGACGCTTCTCCTGGCTGGCAAGCAGCGCGCGCTTTCACGAGGAGGCGTTAGAGCTACACATCACCGAACCTCGCTCCGAACCGCGGCTGAACGAGCCTCTTGCCGAGCCTCAGATGACCGCAGTGGGCGGAGCGGAGATGGCTGGTGAAGCGGATGCGGCAGAGGACTCCTCGGTGGTCGGACTCCCAGCTGGGTTGACAAAGCGTGCTGGTGAGGCTGCTGCTGCTGCTGAAGCTGCTGCTGCTGCTACCGCGATGCAAGGAGCGCAGGGGGCGATGCAGAAAGGGCCTGCGTCGCCAGGAGCGCCGCGCGGGGAGGTGCAGCCTCGGATGGAACGCACGCTGGCCGGCCTGTCGAAGCTCGCATGCTCGCTGGGACTACCGGAAGCAGACCAGCAGGCGGCGTGGCAGCAGCAGGAGCGAGCACATGAACAAGCAGAGCAGCAAGCAGAGCAACAAGCAGAGCAACAAGAGGCGCCGCAGCACTGGGACGGTGGAAACGCTGTGGATACTAGAAGCAATGGCAGCTTGCGTGATGATGGGCGCTATCGAAGTCACGGAAACCATTACCATGAGCATCGCACATGCAAACAGCTGCTATGTATGAATGCCGCGGCCTCGCTTCCCGTCCCCAACGAGCACACGGCGCCTGCCGCACGAACCCCCCGGTTTCAAGTGGCTGCTGCAGCAGCAGCGGAAGCAAGGAGAGAGCAGGCAAGGAAAGAGAAGGTGGCTTTTGAGGCGACTCAGAAGGCAGTAGCCGCAGCCGCCGCCGCCGCAGCAGCAGCAGCAGAGGCGAGGCGAGAGCAGGCTGTGCTGTCGAGCCGAGTGATGGCGACTCTGCAGATGGGAGCAGGCAGCGAGGGCGAGAGGCGGCAGCTGTTGTCTCTTCTGCGAGCACTCAAGCAGGTGGAGGAACAGCAGGCGCAGGAGGCGCAGCAGCAGAAGACGAGGCAGAATGCACGGAAGCGGCAGCGGCGGCAGAGGGTGATGGGAGGTCAAGAGCTGTCAGGGGACCTTCAAGAACCGCAAGCGCTGCAGCAGGAGGAGCAGCAGCAGCCCGAGCAGCAGCAGCCCGAGCAGCAGGAGCCGGAGGGAAGGAATGAGGAGCAGCAGCCCGCGCAGCAGCACTGGTTTTCAGATCACTCGCCTTTTCATGCGGAAGCAAGGGCTGAGCACGAGCACCACCGGGGATTAGCATCGGGGGGGGCAGTGGGAGACGGCCTTGCCTCCTTCTATGCTCCCAAATACGGTCCAGATGGCGCTTTGGCTCGTGGTGCTGGCTTATTGGGGTGCATGGATGGGCGGGGAGGGGATTGGAGCGGCAGTGGTGGCGGCAGTGGTATCGACAATGGTGTTAGCAGTAACCCTGATTTCTTGCTACCCGGTGTTGGCATCAACCCCCCCAGTGCTGTGACTGTGAGTAATGACACCCATCTCAACATTATGCGCATGCGTGGCATCAGCGGTGGCGGTTTCGGCGGAGCTGCTACAAACGTTTGTGGAGCGATCGCCGCTCGAAGGAAGAGACGAAGCCCAGAGGCACCCACTGGCTGTGCTACAGCTGTGCACCAGTGGCACCACGGCAGCATGCTGGGGTATGCGAGCCGGAGTGGTGTGTTGGAAGGCTTACACTGCAAGGCCGAAGCAGCTGCAGACACAGTTCCAGTGGGGGCAGTGCCAGATGGAACGGGACCAGCACCAGGGCCGTTCTCTTGGTCTCCTCCTCACGGCAGCATGACGGTGATGGCAAGGCAGCACATTCACCTCCTGTACCAGCGCCAGCGGCTGCAGCAAGGTCTGCAGCAGCAGCAGCAGCAGCAGCAAGGTCTGCAGCAGCAGCAGCAGCAGCAAGGTCTGCAGCAGCACCAGCAGCAGCTACTGCAGGAGCAGCCACTGCAGCAGCAGCAGGAGCTGCAGAGGTGTGAGCAAGGGTCCCAGCACCAGCCGTCGCCAGAGGCCAACAAGCCCCGTTCTCGAGGCAGTGCAGGCTCGGCGCGCACAGGCTCGGGAGGCGCAGGCTCGGCAGGCGGTGCGGCGACCACCAGCAGTGGGCACGTGGTTGGGGAAGAGTGCATGGAGGGCACAGAGGGCATGCAATGCATAGAAGGAAAGGATGGTACGCGAGGTATGAATGGCATGGGTCAGTGGCAGTCTGACGAGCGCCTTGCCGTAGCGGTTCTTACACAGGAGCCTGATTGGTGCCCAGATGGCCTGGATAATCCCAAGGGGTGCGAGTGCGGCACCATGCAAGACGACTGTGGCACGGACGACGAGTGGATGCCTCGGTGCCAAGGCGTCGGGACAGGCTCGGCACCGAACCAGAGGATTAAGAGACGCAGCATGGCGGAGCGGCGAAGGAGGGAGAGGATTAGTGAGGGGCTGCAGAAGCTGAGGGTGAAGGTGCGGGGGCGAGGAGACACGTGTGCGATGCTGGACAGAGCAGTGGGGTATGTAGATGCACTAGAGCGGAGAGTGGTGGAGTTAGAGAGGGTTGTGATGGCGGCTGCTGGGTCTGGGAGAAACGTTTTCCCCAGTAATGCATTTGCCGGTGGTGCTTTTGCGGGTCGCGGTTTTGCCCGTAACATCTCACGTAATGACGTTGCAGTGCTCACGTTTGTACCGACTGCATTGACATCGCCCCCCATTGGCCTTGGGAGTGACGGTGTTGCTAGCTGGCCTTGGGAGTGAAGTGAAGCATGGCTGGACAAAGCTTTGGCCTATGGTGGTGAAGCTGTAGATGATAGATCAAATTCCTATGATTTTTTTGTACCGGTAGTAATTTATGCCATGATTCCTCGACATACCGTATAGTTCCGGCTAGAAGACCCGGGGGACTCTCTAGAAGTGCTTGAAAAAATGCTAGGGTGGA